TTCCTTTTTAGAGTGATCGTAGATTCACAAAAAATTTGCAAAGACTGTGTAGCTACATGTTTCCCACATTCCCCATCCTCAGCTTCCCCTACCCCCGTGTTTTAGATTCCTGTGGTCTGTTCATCAAAGTTGATGAATCAGTATTGGCCCATGTTTTTGTGCAATTTTCTCTGGTTTTCCCTAAATGTCTCTTTTCTGCTATAGAATCTTCTTGGGGGCCCCTAACCCTGGAAAGAGGTGACTGGAGATGTTGTGTGGCTTCTAGAATCTTGTGAGCAAATAGTGGTGGGAGGGTTGGGCTGGGGGGTGTTTCTGAGAAGATAGGAAGAAGCAAAGAAATGTGTTTTTCTGGTAGCTCCTTGGTTGCAAGGCTTTCCATAGTGTCTGACTTAGGTCCCCTGAATACCAGCTGGCTCCATACCATGTCCTTTGCTATTCCTGGGGCGTGCTCTAAAACTGAGCACATCCACAACTGAGATGCCACCTGGGCTCTGCTCTTTCCGGGCAGGCTGCCACCTGACTAGGTACTTCATGTGGGTTCTCATATGTAAGTGCGGGGCGGGGGGGGGGGCGTTTGTTAGTTATTATTTTGTACAGTACTGGGAATTGACTCTAGGGGCCTTGTACATGCTAGGCAAGTGATCTCTCACTGAGCTAAACCCTGAGTTTAGAATCATGAGCCTCTAAGTGCTGAGAGTGTAGGAACAGGCCACCACACCCAGATTTTTACCATTTCCTTAACTGCCGGTCACTCTTGATGCTACATAACTTCATGTTCATCAGCTGACTCATGGTGGGCACAGTGTGGCCCAGTCCATTTGAGGGAAGATTACTCTGTTATAAAACAAAAATTATTGATGTCTTAACACATGCTGCCACATGGGTGAACCAAGGTCCATGTGTTATATGATTCTAACAACATATAACATCAGGAAGAGGCAAATCATTAGGGACACAAAGTAGGCCATGGGTTTCCAGGGGCTGAGGTGGGAGACTGTTGATGGTCCAGGATATGTTTCGGGGCAGACACAGATGTTGGTGAGAGCTGTGGTTACCCAAGGGATGAAGGAATAAATCATGGGCACGTAAATTATATCTGAAAACAGATATCTGAATAAAAGTGCCTTGTGCTCATCACAGTCTGCTCTGTCTGGCCTCTGGATCAGCCATTTCTCCCAGAAATCTCATCTGTCTCACCAAGGAGCAGTATCAGGAGTCAAGAGCACTGGGAGGGTGTGCTGCCTGTTGTCCGGGATGTCTGTTCAGTCCACAAGCCCTAACTGGTGGGGCCTCCATTTGCCACCAATATTTTATTGATCTTGATCTTTCACAACACAAAGAGGGGCTAGGGAAACTGATGGTAAGCCTAACACCCGCCTAGGGCTCCTGAACTCACTCTGACTGATCCCAGTGTAGGCCCTGCACTCCCAAACTATCCGATTGTCTTGAGAACAAGGGTCCCATGTGCGGTACCTTGATACAGGAATTACAGGAAACTGTCCCAAGCCCACCTTCTCAAATCCCCATTCCAGAATCTATCTGATAGCTGAAGGCCCCAGCTCACTCAGACTCAGTCTACCCGTTGAGCAGGGATTTTGTACTGATTAAGCTCCAGATCTTTCACTAACTAGACAAGGTCACTGGGCTTGTCAGCTATGCCTGGGAGGGGCCCTGGCAGGTCCAAAGGGCACAGGGAAGTCTAGGGGATGTGTTTTGGGCTCAGCAGATGGCAGGCAGAAGACCCGTGGACTCACAAGCACCCGAGCTGTGGCTTATAAAATGCATTTGGCTCTCAGTATCTACCTCTATCCAGCAAACTCAAAACTCTTAGGTGTGTGTGTGGCAGGATCTGTCTGAACACCCAGACCTCCTTTGTTGCTGCCCCCCTTAACAAGGTGTAACAATGTTGACAGCATTTCCACTGGATGAGGCATTGTAAGCAACTGAGGGATGATTCATTGTGAATCAGTGAACAGGCATGGGTCATACTCGAACACCATGTGAGCATACACAAGGACTTGAAACTTTGGAGGCTGGCATGCGGGATGAAGCTCTGGGGAGCTGTGCCGGGTCTCCAGCCTGGTTCTCACAGAGTGACTTCGGACACTGTGAGCAGGCTACTCTGCCAAGTTCCCAGCACGGGCAGGAAAAGGCAAGGTGGAAGGATGGGGAAGCCAGGGTCTCCAGAGTAGACAACAACAGACCTAAGTCCTTGGTTCACAGGGAGGTCTTGGGCTCTTGACAGGGAGCCAGGACTCTTCTACAGTGGACTTGAACTCCTCTGGACTGGCAGAGATGGCTGGCCCATGCCAGGTTCCTTCATCTGCCCTCTGCTTCCCACGAGTGGCAGTCCTGTCCCCTGTTGGCTTCTGGGAGTGGAGGCTAATGCCAGGCCAGAAAGATAAATGCTAATTATGGACCGGCTAGGAGAGTCTATGCTATAACTAGCACCCATCCAACTGCATGGGCTGGGGTTCAGGTGGCTCATTAGTTTAACAAGAGACCATCACAGACAGCAGCAGCCTCTGCACACCAGCCCTACTCCAGTGGCTCCTACCCTACGGGTCTCCTCTTCCCACTGGCGGGCAGTGTAGAACCTCACCACATGCAGGCTACAGAATCTTTGACTCTTAAGAGCCCTTTGACGTTGGTTGGGGCTAGAATTCATCAGTTCCTTCTTAGGGGACACGCTGTCCTTGCAGAGCTCCGAATTAGCTACCCTGAGTTGAGAGTCACCCTGTTCAATCCAGCTGACATTGTCAGCACAGAGCTCTTGAAAGCCATGAGATCCTGGCCTGTTTCTGAATCACACTGGCTAGTTTTCTTCTTTCAAGATTGCATTCAAGACTCCATTCACACTCTAGAGTGCATATGCCTTGCAGCTTCTCCAAGAAGTGCCACTGGCCCCTGACCCAGCTGCCATCTGGCCATGATCACTTCTGTTAATGTGGGTCCCTCCACACACGTGCACACAGGCACCAACCCAAGGCCCTGTGCTTGTATTCCATACCAAGGGTTCCCAGCTTAGCACCGGGAAGCTGGCTCATGGCCTAGAACAGGGTGTTAGTTTTACCCACTCCTGATGCCTCTGCTTCTCAAGCTCCTTTTCTCTTCCACGCAGAGCCCCGTAGCTTCATGGGTACAGGGATGGAAAGAGGCTAAGAAGCAGGCCCGTCCAGGTTGGGAGGAGAGAAAACAGTGCTGTCCCATCAAGTCACTTGAGGTGGCAGCGGCAGCTTGCATATTCCTGGAGGTAATATGTCTCCTGTACTAACGTGCCCATCTGGGGTCCACCCATGGAAGTGTTAAAGTCTATGGGTACAGCCTTGGGTCTACCTCTTTTTTCTCTAGGGCTGTGACTGGGGTCCATGCCCTGCTGGTTAGCATCTGGTCCCTCACACCACTCCTACTTGCCTGACCAGCAGAGCAAGGAGACACCCAAACCTGGCAGATAGCTCATGGCATCCCAGGAAGTTGAGTCCCAACTCTGAATCAGGGAGGGCTGAGGCAGCTGTGTGCCACTGGACCCTGAAAGCTCACTGACAATCCTTCCCACATGTAGGAAGTTCCATACTTAGACGGGACATGAGCTGGTGGGGTGGGTAAGCGGAGCAGTGGTTGGGGAACACCAGGGGTCACAGCCAACGCCACCTTTGGTGGGCGGCATATCAAGGTCCTTGTGACAGGGAGCTGGTTAGGCTCCTGACGAAGGTCGGTTCCTCTTTGCTATTTAGAGGCTGAGAAAAGCGGAAACAAAAAGCCCCAAATCATGAAAGTTCTAAAGAATCTGAGAAACCATTCAAATAAGACTGCAGAGCTGCCCGAAGCGCATGATGTAAGGTCAAAGTCTGACTCTCCAAGCCTGGTGCTGAGGTGAAGGAGTCACCTTCCCACCCCCACGAGCAGACTCCAGCCCCCTCCCCCGGGTCTTCGGTCTCCCAGCCTCCTCCCTTTCCTCCACTGCTATCCTTTGTCATTCAGCCCGGTGAGGCCCCCAGGATCTTTATCCAGACCCAAGGGAGACAGAAAATAGGCTCTCGGGCTTCTAGACCTCTAGGAAACATTTAGAATGGGTTCTGGGGCTGTGCAGGTACCTCCTAGGCACAGGCCAGGGCAGGGGCTAAGAAGAATATTTTGATGAAGGTGATTTTCCTGAGAGGGTGTGCTCTGGGCACAAGACTAGGCCTGGATGAGGGTCTGAAGGTAGAAGCATGGCCCGTGCTAAGGGCTGAGGGAGCCAGAATCCACCTGGACAGACACATAAAGCAGGGGGGACCGGAGGTCTAGGCATGGGGAGGCTTGGGCAGGGGCGACCATAGGAAGGGACAGGAGAGATGGTGAGAAATGAGAGCCCATCTCTCAGCCTCAGACTCCAGTAAAGGGCATTTCCTGTCTCTCCTGAGAAGCCTGAGCATTGCACAGCTCCCAAGGTGGGATCCAGATGCAGGGATGGGATGGGCACCAGGCTGTCGGTGCACCCAGCCTTTGCCCTGATGAAGCTCTCTGACCCAGATTAGCCTCCACATAGGCGGAGCCTCGGCCCTGACCTCCAGGTTAGAACTAACCTTTTGACCTGGTCCTCAGGAACTGTACACACACTGAGATTGAAGGGACCAGACTCAGCCCACAATACCCCAGTTTCTCCCATTAAGTTGTGTTTGGCGTCTCTCTGACTGCCTGGTGTGAGGGAGAAAGCAGAGGGGAGGGACTATGACACTCAGAGACCCCTAGGGGAGAGGGAGAGCCACATACAAGACAGGGCTGTCACTGCAGACCCCCTCCCTTCTCCCTGATGCAGCTGGGGTCTCCTGGTAATTGCTGGAAGAGGAGGCTTCTGGCTCAGGCCCAAGGGGCAGGTCAAAGGGCACCGTGGAGGTGTTGCTGAGGGAGCCTGGAGGACATGAGTCAGGCCAGCCAAATTGCCAGGTTCTCCCAGGCACTCACTGACCTTATAAAGGCGCCTCTCCCTGGTGGCTGCCAGTTGCTGGGGGACATCCAAGATGAGGACCCTCCTGGTGGTGTTGCTGCTGGCTGCTGGGTGTGCTTCTCTGGGTAAGGCACTGGCTGCCCCTGGTTTGAAGGGAGGCAGGCGGCCTCTGGGGAGGGTTCAGGAGCATGGGGCAGGCGTGACTTCTGAGCTGAGAGAGAAGGTACCTCTTGGAGTGCTGGCCTGGTGAGGAGGCTGCAGGGAGGTGCAGAAGAGGCTCCTGTGGTGGCTCCCGGCCAGTCAGATTCAGAAACCTCCTCCCTTTAGATATGATGTGGTACCTTTCAGGCTCTTGTGGGGGGGATTGTAAAAATTAGGGTGAGAAGCTGTAGGTGCATGAAGGGGAAGTACCCTGGGTACCACTTGTGAGTACTGGGACCTGGGATTTAGCGGATTTAGCAAGAATGGTCAGCTGCTCTCCCTCTTCCCAGGATGAGGTGCTCAGGAATGCAGGATTCTTGCTGCTAAATAAGAAAGGAAGGACTTGGGCAAGCCAGACTGCAACCCCTTAACACACTCTGCCCTGCCCCTGATGACCTGGTTTAGGGACAGAAATGAATCGGGGTGGGGGTGGGTGGGAAGGGTGTCCCTCAGCCTGTGATTATCAGTAGAATAATTATCATCTCCAGGATAATTAACCCCATCAGTTTCCCCTGAGCTTGGGGAGGGGCGGAGGGAAAAGGAAAACAGCCTTGGGCAGCATACTAGCCGCCAGGTGCTCATATAGGGAGGGACAGTGGGCGGAGGGACAGTGGGCGAGGGCCTGGAGAACAAGGGGGAGGTCAGGGTCAGGTTGGGGGATTGCTTAGAACACAAGATCAAGGACACCCATCAGGAATGGCAACCCTGGAGGCAAGAAGCAGCTACCAGGCAGGAGGCTGGGAGGGCTGAGTCAGAAGGTGGGGACACTGACTGGCCGGACACTTTTGTCCTCAAGGCTCAGCTTTCCTGAGAGGTTGACCTTATAGCATTCTTGCAGGATGCTGCCTTCTGGAAACTTGTTGGGGCTCTGAAGGCTTAAGAAGAACAGCCTAGGAACTCTACCAGCTTCTAGGGCAGAGGGTCTCTGGGGACCACAATGAGGAACCTGAGGTACTATGAGGTCCTTGTCTAGAATAACCTAGGAGTGTCTCCCCAGACAGACAGGACTGGGGACTAGTATACAGAGATACTGCATGGGGTGAGACAGGATAGCCAGGAGACACTGCCAACGAGTAAGCCATTTTTCCTGAGGGTTCCAGAGACCCTAACCTGAGAAACGTGTATCTCTTATCCCAGAAAGGAGTTCCGCAGACACCTCCCAACTCTCAACACAGGGCCACCACAGCTTCAACACTGATGATTCTTTATGTGGGAGGTGTGATCATCCAATTCCATCCAAGCAGGTGTGCATTGCCTAGGACACCTGTTACCTGACACCCTTACAGGGAAACCCCTAAAGGACGTTCCCCGGTCCCCTATAAGACACTTTTACCAAACACATCTGCTATTCAATACCCTTAGATGAAACTCCTACTAGACACTCCTTGCAGGACACCCCTCCCAAGGCCTGGCCACAGAGACACCTGTCCAGCAGCCCAACCCCTGCACAGAGCCCCTAGCATGTCCTGTGGCAGCTGAAGGGTCCTTGCAAGTCTCCAAGATGGCCTTGTCTCTGCAGCCCTACACCTTTGGCCCATGAAACTGTTCCCAACCACACATAGAAATCCACCCGTGTTGTACCCAGTCACAAACCATGTTGCCTCGCAGGAGTCACCATGGAGTAACCATTGTACCTTCTGCCCCCAGATGCCCTTACAGGAATCTCACTGCTCACTGAATCAGCCATGCCTAGGTAGTCTGTGTTCTCTCAAGGGTCTGTCAGTTTTTGTAGCCAATGGCATAGCATCTGGAGTCACCTATCTCTGGAGCCTGCCTTCTCCCTAGCACTTCGGTCTTCAGCCTGGAGGTGTGGGCTACCAGCAGGGCCTTAGGAAGAATGGGGCAGGGCCAGACTGTTCCTTCCCTCCAGATGAACAGCATCTAAGTACCTACTGATGCCTAGAGACACAAAGTCATTAGAGCCAGCCTGCCCTGGCTACTAATCCAGCTGTCCCTAGCCCTTGAAGCTCCCTTCAGTCCTCTTCTAGGAAGGAAGGGCTAGGAGCCATGTGCTTTAGGAATTCTGTCATTTTACCGTCCGAGAAAGCTGAGAACTCTGTTATTCCCGTGTTATAGGTGAGTACAGCATGGATTGCAGCAGGGATAGTGGGTTAGAAGCTCTAAGTCGGCCCTCTTTATATCGCCTCCTACTGCTCCATGCTTGCCGCTGCCTGCCTCACTCCTCCCCATCCATGCACCTACCTACCCATCAGTCCACCTATGTATTCATGTAAACATCCATGTGCCCAGGGACTCATCCCTCCATGCACTCTTTCACTACCCATCCATCTGCCTGTCCACCTGTCCATCCGTTCCTCTGCTCATCCATTCACATGTCTGCCTGCCCAGCCATATAACCGCACCCCATTCATCCATCCATCCATTTGTCCATCTAGGCATCCATGCTTCAACCTTCTACCCACCCATCTACTCATCGAATGGCACATACACTCATCTCCCCATCTATCCATCCATTCACCCCTTCTCCAACCCACCCATCCGCACAACCATCCATCCACCCACTCCCTCATATCCAGACATGCATCTGCCTACCCATCAGATCTCCTGGTTTAGCTGACAAGGCTCTACTATTCACTAATGTTCCCAATCTCCTTAACAGAGAGATCAATACAGGGCAGAGAGGGAGCTTTAGACCGAAGATCTCCAAGTCTAGCCTTAGGGCAGCTTGCCATAACACCCCACACCTGCCTGTTACTCAAGCTGACATTTTGATACCAACACACACAGGGCCAGAAAGGACAAAGGGTGGAACTCTCAGAATCACTACCAAGAAGTTCCTAGCTTCTCAGACCCGCCCAGAGGGAACTCCTGCAGGGAGAGGAAGGTCAGAGAGCACGACCTTGTGTGGGCCACTAGGCAGGCAGCTGGGCACTTAGCCCCAGCTCCAGCCCAGACTGATGGCCTGTGCTTCCCCCCAGCCCGGGCCCTGTTCTGCCATGTGTGCTGTGGGCCCGAGAACTGCGAGTCTCTCGTGGAGTGCGCCTTGACGGACAAGTTCTGTGTGATCACTCGGTCCAGTGAGTACCCTGGGCCACGCAGGCCCCATCCCACCCCACCAGAACCACACAGGCACTTCCTGGCCCCTTTGACCTCTTTCCAACCTGTACATCAGAAGCCCTTGGTCTCCCCACTCCAGACTCTAAGGATAATATCACTCTCTAGTCCACACTTTAAACTAAGCTAAAGATTAGGTGGGAGAAGGGTTGGGTATAGGCTGGCATGTTAAAGGTACCAACATCACACCCTGCTCTTCCAGGTCCATTTGGACCCTTCCTGCTCACTCAGATCCCTGCCTCCAATCAGGTGGCCATCGCCTCTGCCCCTGGGTACCCTGCCGTTACTCCAGAAGTCAATCCTGCCACTGAACAGTACTCTCCTTCCCAGGACAGGCCCTCTCCTTCATGTCCCACTGTGCATCTGGTTCTCTCCTGAGCAGTGGGGCTGAGTTGGAGCCTAGATCTTGTGTATTTGGCTATGATGGTGGCTGTAATGGGGTCCAGGATTGGTGCTGGAGTGTAGCTGGGGACGGGGAGTCACTTATCTGAAGTGGTCCCAGAAGAAAGCATGGGTGTATCAGAAAGGTTGACAAACCTTTCAGACTCTGAGGACCCAGGTGGACACTGTCGCCTCTAGGTCTAGAAGAGTTTGGGAGTACTCTCTTTCCTGTTGCCATTGGAACTGGGTCATGAGACCACTGGCTCAGGTGAATGGAAGTTACTATGATCACTGGGAAGCTTCTTCCAAGATCCTATTCTGAGAGCAGGGGAAGGAAATCAGGTGGCTTCACAGTGACCCTGGTCTGTCCATCAGAACAGTTTCCCACAAATCCCAGTGGTGACTTGGAGTTATCCCTATTTTATGAAGAGGTGGTGTCCTGGTGGCGTCATGCGCTTACCCAGCCCAGACCCTATGCAATACTCCTGTCCACACCCTGGCTGGTTCTTGTGCTGTTTCACTCAGAGCACTCTAGAAGGAAACATCATATATATGCTCCTCCACTGCCTCCAGGACCCTCCTCACTCTGCGGAGGAGCATCCTTCACAGAGGCAGCTGCCTTTAGCTAACCAAGTAGTCCTACAAGAGGCAAACAATCAGTGGGACGCAGGTCCACAATTGCCCAGGGCACGAGGCAAGAGCAGTGAGGATGAGATCTTTGCCCAGAAATAGGTGAGTGCCACATCAGGACCAAATCTAGCAATGACATAGCAGAGGGGCCCTGCTGAGGCCAGGATGGAAAACAGTGAGGGCCCCCAAGAATCCAGAACTCAGAGTACCCCAAAGCTCCATCCCTGCACAAGAGCTTCTCTCAGGCACTCCTGGGTCCTGTCCTGTCCGTGCCCTTGCTGGCACTTGCCTTTGCTGAGCATGTGTCTATCTGGCCTGTTGTCTGTCCGTCCCTCTCCCTGACTGTCTGCTGACTGTAGGAACACTGAGACATGTGGAGTCATTCCTGTACTCCAGGACCTCAAAGGTCACAGTCAAGCAGAGTTGAAGGCTAGCCTTCAGAAGGCATCAAGAAGTTCCCTGGAGAAGCAACATGGGTTGGGGACAAGAGCTTTGGGTGGGAGAGTCCATTGTGGGTAGAAAGAGGCGTCTGTTCCCACCCCCATCTAGTGAAGTGACATGGGCAGGCCAAGAACCTTCCTGGTCCCAAGATGAGGAGGGAAAGGGGTGTGATGGCATTCGTGGTCCACTGCACCTGTGTGCCAGTCCCATGGGGTTGGAGAAGCATCTAGCTGCTGGGTTTCCAGGGAGAGAGAAAACAGGCTGATTACCAGTGCCAGAACTTTCTCTCTAAACCCTGGCCACATGGTGGTGCCGTGGTGTTCATTATCTCCTAGGAATTTTTCACACACAGCCACTGAAGCAACTTTCCTTTTGTCTCATCTGGAACAGCAAATGTCCCTACTTTAGGACTGGGCATTTACTGCAAGATCTGAAGAAGTCTAGTGCCCCTTTTGCCCCAGGCTGTGTCTGTGTGGTGCTTCCTGGACCTGGACAGGCAGCAGCCGCCAGAACTACCTGCCAGTGAACTTGGGTTCTCTTTTGTCCAGGAGAAGTTGCAATCCATTCTGAACCTCTGTGCCCTGTGTTGCCAAGCACCACTGTTCAGAGTGGTACTGAGCTCACCCACTAACTACCACCAACTCTCCTCACATCAGCACAGTTCTCAAACTATCCACAAATTCCTCGTTATCCTAAAGACAGGCTGAGGTAGAGGCTATTTCCACCTAGGTGGGGAAACTGAGGCATAGGAAGATCAAGCATCCTGAGATAGTTATCCCACCTCCCTCATACAGTGTCTGTGCTAACTACATGCCAGAGGCCCCTGCTCCCAGAACCTCTGAGCAGTGCAGGCTAAGGGCAGCTACTTACTTTTCCAAGGGCCGTGTGTTTTCAAGAGTCCTGCTATCCCCACTGTGTGTGCAAGCACACAGTACCTCATCCCCCTTTGAGCATGCAGACAGAGAGCAAGTCTTGCCCAGTGGTACTTCCTGAGATGCCCTCAGCCCAAGTCAACTTCTCCTCTCCCAGGGGCCCTTGCGAGCCCTGCCTCTGATTTTCTCATGGATTATGAACCCTAGGAACTGCTGTGCAGGCCGGGGAGCCATATCACTCAGTCTTGTCTGGTCTGGACCAGTCCCAAGAGGTCTGAGAGCTAAGTAGGGCACAAGCCTATCTTCTGGTATCTGAAACCTGGAGCAGGAAAGAGTGGGGGAAAGAGAGGAAAGGATTGTAGAACCAGATATCTCTCAGGAAAGGGAAAAGAGAGGGAGCTGAGGGACCCAGAAACTGAGAGAGGGAGGGAGGGAGGGAGGGGGTCTTCAAGTCCCTAGCCCCAGATGTCACAAAGTCCAGCCCATCAAAAAGAAGACATGTCCCCACAGTCACTGAGGAAGGACACCCACTCACAAGGTTCTTTGGGACACCCCAAGCTGCCACCTCAAACATGCGGGAATTACCTCAAAGCATGTAGCACAGACTGCAGGTCCCTGGAGAGCTGGCTGGGTAGTAACAGCTGTGGGGGCTGTGGTCACAATACCCATAGTCATTCCTCCTGTTTCCACAGCCAGCCCTGGCGGAATCCTGGTCATGAAGTCCTGCGCGCCAACCTGCCCCAACAGCACCGTGTCTTCCGATGGCCGTGCCCTCTCTGTCTTCTGCTGTGAGGGTAGCCAGTGCAACCGCAGCGCTGCCTCAGACCTGACCAGCAGCCTTGGGGCCCTCTGGGCCAGCGCCTCTGTCAGTCTACTGTGGGTACTGCTTCGAGCTGCCTGGTGAGGGCCTGGGTGGCCTTTCTCTATCATCGGGGTCTGTTTGCAGCCTCAGAAGCATCCTACACCCACCCAGCCAGGCTGTTAATCTCTCTCTCCATTTCCTCCAAGACACACTCAGTCTTCCCTTCTCTCGCAGAAAGGAAATAGCAGCACCTGCCCCGAAAGGTCCCAGCTCCCCTCCTGCCTCAGGGAATCCTCTAACAGGGCACATGAACACACCTCCCCAAGAACCCCCACTTCTATGAGACCTCAGACCTTCGCTGAGTCCTGGGAGTTCCTAGCAATCCTCAATGTGAAGAGCTGCTGTCTCTCCCAATGCCCTCCACCCTCATTTCAGGAGCATTCAACGGACATTAGGCTTGGCATTTGTACTACCCTCTCCGTGACTGACCCACTACATGGCCATCTGAACCCCTGGGCCTCTTCTATGCATGGAGTAACTGGTGTGGTGACGTGATTGTATCCACCCATCCATGCACGCATACACCCATTCCACCCATCCATCCCTTTATCTATCCACACATCCATTGATGCTTGCATGCATACACCCATGCATCTAGTTGCACAGACCCATCAGAGTCTGCCTAATAGGGCCTTTCGGGGTCTTCATCTGGCCAAGTTCTCCAGCCTAGGGACCCTACTAGTTCCTGTCCAACTGAACACAAACTTTTAAAAGGTCCCCTGACTGCCCTCTGGGGGCGGGGATGGAGGAGGCTGGTCACCTATGGCTTGGTGTCAGGCATTGGAATAGGTGCCCGTCCTCTCTGGGCATTGGGAAATTGCTTTGTCTCCCTGGAAGCACCGTTTTGTCAGCCCTTCCCTGATGCTGTCCTAAAAGAAAAATAAAAGAGTAAGTCTGCTTGGTCCAAGGTGTTGGGTCTTGGGGAATTCTGGTCCTTGGTCAGCCTCATCCTCAGAGGCAGGCATGGCACTTGAGAGAGGGCCAGGAGAAGTTCTTACTGCAGAAGCCCAGGAACAAGAGTGGTGCCCTGCCTTACTCTCTGCCTCCTGTGTTTACACTGGGTCTCCTTGGCCAAGATAGAGGGAACAGACTTCTTCCACACCCCAAGTAGGGTACCCACAGGGTCCCCTGATAACCCTTCTGAGCTGTGATGTGTCTGATGCTGCTACTGCACTGGCAAGATGCTCATGACCTTCACGGTGGCCCCAGGACCTCACAAGTCCTTACCCTGGTTGGTGGCATGGGAACCCTCATCTTTATGGACAATCACCAGGCCCTGAGACCACCCAATGCCACGTCTCCTCTGCGGAGTTTTGTTTCCCACCCCTGCTGCTTTTTCCTATCGCTGTAATAAAATGTAGTCGGAGAAAGTTTATTTTGGCTCATAGCTCAAGGTCTAGTTCATCATGGTAAGGAGGTCAAGGCAACCAGAGCTTAGAATATCTGACCACACTGCACCCACAGTCCAGAAACAGAGCTCAGCCTCCCTTCCCTCACCTCCTGTATCCCTAGACAACCAGCCAGAACACACCCACAGATTCCCTGCTTACCACCCTCACTTAACCCCAGACCTCTACCTCTCTGGCGTCTTCACTCATCCCAGAAGACACCTTCTAGCTTCACAGAGCCACAGTCCCCTAGTGTCTAGACTCAAGTGCCCTGCCTCTCGTGCCCTCAAAGACTGGCCTCATCAGAAGTATTCACTAGGCAATGTTTCGAAACCTTGGGAGCAACAAGCTGGGCGGTGAAGATAGATCCCACCTTATCACATGCTTGCCGCTGTGGAAGACAAGGTGGGGAGGATGGGCATGCTGACTGAGCCGAAGGTGCTGAGCAAGACCCCTCTGGGCACTGAGCCTGCCTCATCCCCTGAACCTCTTCCTATGCCTTCCTTGCTTGGCCAGCCTACTCCTATGGAGTCTGGAGATCTAGGGTTGTGAGAGGCAGCTACTCAGGAACATGGAGCCCTCTCATGTCTGACCCACTTTTCTGTCATCTAACCAGATGGGCCTCACTCTTCACAGCAGCCAGTCCCCACTGTGTGGCTGTAAGTGTCACGCCCCAGGGTTCTGCTTTCATAAGTTGAGCAGGGCTGGGAACAGGTTGATGCCAAGCCAAGAACCTTTCTTGGTCTCGAAGGAGGAAGTGGTTGTGCATAGAACTTTCTAGAGTGCCTCCAACCAATCTTTATGACTCCTGGGGAGGTAGATGGTGTAGGCAACCTGAGCTCTCTCCATTCCTCAGAGTGCCCACGGGTCTGGAGTCAACACACTCAGGAGCCTCTTGCAAACATGTCTCCTGCTACATGTGGGATCCTTAATGACAGCAGCTTCATCCCTGCCCTGTGGCAAGAGATGGCAACCTTCGTCAGAGCTGCAAATCCGTGCCAGGGGTTGCCAAAACAGAGGAATGAGCAGGCCATCAGGGAGAGGGTGATCGAGACTGCCATGGCGAAGCACCAGAGCTGCTGACCCACAGGGACACCGCACATGCAAGGCTTAGAGGTGGCTTGAGGGGCCTGAAGGAGCAGAGGGAGTGGAGGCCCTGGGAGGACAGTGGAAGGCAGAGTGAGCAATGCCAGGCGGTATTCATGGGCAGGGTGCAGGAGACTGGGCTTGACCCTAAGAGCACTAGGTCAGCAGGAAAGGGACTCCAGCCAGTCATGCCTAGGGCCAGGGCTTTGGCTCTAAAAGAAGTGAGGGAAAGATGGCGGAGCTGGGGATATAGCCACAGCCCCTCCCCCCCCGAGAGACATGGGTTTGACTGAGATGTAGAGACAGCCAGGTATGGGCCCCAGGGTCTGGAGATGGTGTAGATGGAAGAGGCTGATGCTCACAGGGAGTGTCACTGTTGGCACCGTTGAGGTGCTACCTTCCCAGCACAACAGAGGCTGGGGTGGGGAAGAAGCAACTAGAACTCCCTAGGGTTCAGGCTAAGATACAACTTATAGTGGAGCCAGAAACGGAAGGTCAGCTCTGGGGTTAAATCCATTGTGACAGTCAGTGGAGAGTTCTGGAATGAAGGCAGTGCTGTCTGTGTCCTTTGCATCTGCCTAGCTGGCCATCTGACCTTGCATGATGCATCCTCTACTCTGGGCACTGGCATCTCTGCACCCCAAGGACCTGCCCATTCCTCGCTCTTACATAACTCTGGGTACAGACGCCACGCCTCTTGATCTCTGAAGCTCTTGGAATTACAATAGTGAAGCTCCCTGTCCTGGGGCTGCCCCCACACCCAGAGAAGACTACAGCACTATGAAAACCCCTCACAAGCAACACACCGTTGCCCTGGATCCAGCATGCAAGTGGACTCCTTAAGGGTACTTGGCTGAGCCTCCTGATCCAGCCTCAACCACCTGAAGATGAAGAAGCGGAGCCCAGCTTTCCACCCCAGCCATTCCACACACATGAGGACAGCCCCTGCCCCAAGGATAGCACTGATGACAGACAGGTCAATAGAGCACTGGTGTGTGAGGCCATCCCTTTCCCTCTAGGGTAGGACTGGAGACTCTCTCTCCAAGTCCTCTCCCATCCTTCAAGTTACCTGTGTATCACAGGCCCTGAGCAACCAACCACCCTTAGCCTTGCTGACTTGGACTCCCGTCCTTGGCAATCTCAGCTTTCTTCGGTCAGGGCAGCTTCTAGTCTCCTGAGAGCAGAGCACATCAATGGAGACCACAGGCTAGGGACAGAGGGCAGAGATGCTGTAGGTCAAGTATCCCTTTTCTGGAACAAGCTGAGACCTCACTTCCCCAGTCCTTGTGGGACTCCACTGGGAGCAAGTCTACACTGAGTCATAGAGGAGGGGTTCGTGGGTGAGGTAAGAACTCACTCAAAGGCTCTGGGAGTGTCCCAGGGATCGTCAAGAGCTTGCCCTGCTGTTGGGGCGCAGGTGAGAAACTGGCAAGCACTCAATGCAGTCACCCATCATGGAGTAATGAGTAACCCCCTCTCCCTGCAACCGAACTCAACACAATTCTCGGCCCGTTGTTCACAAAAGCTGGTCCCCTGGGTCTTCCTGGACCACTCAGTCTAGCACAGCCGCTGTTGCTCCGCCCGCAGCCCTCGTTCACACTTGACTGCTCAAAGCTCGGTTTGCTGTCTGTACTGAATAGCATCCAGAAAACCTGAGCTCTGTCACACCAGGACTCTGCCTTGTATGCGTGGCTGGTCATCATATTATGGGGTGGATAGATGGATGGATGGATGGATGGATGGATGGATGGACGGATGGATGGACGGATGGATGGACGGATGGATGGACAGATGTGTATGTAGAAGATGGGGGGATGGGTGAATGAATGGATGTGTGAGTTGATAAGCGGACAGATAGACGTGTGGGTGCATAGGAGGATAAGTGGATGGAAGGGTGGGTAAATGGGTAGCTTGGTAGGTGGGGAAAGGATTGGTAGATGGATGGGTGGGTGGATGCTAAGATGGTTGGATGGATGGGGACAGAGAGATGATGTAATGATGTATGGTGAGTGGACATATAATAAATGGATAAACGGGATGGGTGAATGAATGTGTACATGGGTACATGGTTGGGCCATGAGTGGATGATTGATAGAGAGATACTTTTAGAGAATTGCTGCTGGTGGCCAGGGTCCCAGAGAATAATTTAAGGTGTGGCAGAACTATGCCAGGTTCCAGACAGCAGATGAGCAGTACCCATGTCTAGATTTGTGACTCCATGTGTAAAGGTTACTCTTGAGCCAGAAGAAAGGGTGTGGAAGAAGGTCCTTAGGCCCAGAGGCCAGGCCCAGCTATGGCTCCTCTTCCTGAGTGACACTAGCCAAGGTTCTGCCCATCCCTGTATCATCTGAGGCTCTACCTGTGGGATTAAAGACAGAATAGGCCCCAGGGAAACAACCCCTCTCTGTGTCTGACTCACAGAGCATTTGCGTGCCTTGCAGAAGAGGAGATGGAACTAGGGCGGGGCATGGGAAGCTGGGGCTCAGCTGGCTGGTGTCCACCCCACCAGTTGACAGCCACCTACCCTCAGGCTCCAGCTTACACAGATCCACCCTGGCAAGCCCTCCTATGGTGCCTCCGCACCCCACCCACCTCTCCAGCTGCCATACTCATGCAGTGTGCTACACATGGCACTGGGTATCTTTGTCCCACCAGTAGCGACTGGCGCACAGTGGGTCCTTATAGAATATTATGAATGGGCGAGTAAAGTGCCTGGAAGTGCAGGGGGCTTAGGGGGCCCTGAGCTGTGCCTGTCTTTATACCCCAAGGTGCCACAACACCTTCAGCCTAGGCATCTGACCTGTCTACTGAGTGCCCTCTTCAGGCCGGGAAAGGGCCCAGGGCTGCGCTTTCTAAAGGGCTGTGCCTTCCCTCTGGACCTCTCACTTTCTCACGATCCCTGTGTCACCGACATGAATGCAAGGGGGAGGGGCATGAGCAGGGAGACCTCTGCTCCAGACAAATGTCCAGGCTTGTCCCTCAACTTCCTGGCCAGCCTGCTGAGGTCAGGGAGCAGGCAGGCCAGAGGGACAGGTGACAGCATTCCCTGCCCTATGTCCCTTCGTTCCACCTCCCGAGTATTAATCTTCTGCCAGCATCTCAAAGGTAGAAGTCATGTCTCAGCCACAGCCCCAAGAGCTACGAACAAGCCGTGGGAGGGCCCGTGATCTCAAAGCAGGGGCTGTCCACATGAGAAGCGGTGCAAGAGGCAGACGTAAGGGACATGGTGGGCTCCTGTGCCCACTCCAAGTACTAGCCACCTCCAACAGGACCCTTGCTGACTGTCCCAGTAGCCCCAAGAGCTCCTGCCACCCACTCTCTCCTAAAGGTATAGTATGTGACTGTTTTACACTTCTGCTGGGTCCCAGATGGGGATACCTGGCTGACACATCCTCCTAGCAATCCTGCCAGGGACAAATACCCTTCCCACTATGAACCTCATCATAGACCTCACCATGGACCCCACCATGGACCTCACCTACGGCTTCCAGTTCCAAGATCTATGGCCACCATGAAGCCTGAGGTACCTTGGGGCATGCCAGCATGCAGGTACCTCTTCCTACCCTGGGTCTGAGCATGAAGTCTGTCATATACTGCTCTGGGTCTCAGTCCCAGACCCCCACTTCTTTTTTTGTTTGCTTGTCTGTTGAGACAGGGTTTCTCTGTGTTGCTCTGGAGTCCGTCCTGGAACTCTCTCTGTAGACCAGGCTGGCCTCGAAGTCACAGAGATCCGCCTGCCTCTGCCTCCCGAGTGCTGGGATTAAAGGCGCGCGCCACCACTGCCAGGTTCAGATCCCCACTTCTGGTCTGCCCTTCATTCCCAGACCCCACAACTCCATCCAGCCCATGAGAAGCTCCAACCCTGTTTTGCCCTGCAATGAGTCAGCTTCCTCCACCGTCACCACCCTGTCACGGAGACCTAAGCTCGGTTCCCAGGGCTTGAAATCACACTCCCTTCTCTCCACCCACCCATTCTCTCTGTATCTGATGTATTCAGGGAGAGCCTGGGGTTGGGTGGGCCTTTCCTGTGACATTCCAGCTGCCCTAAGCAAACCCCAGGGATCCCAGCTCTATCTAGAAACACAGAGGACAGCATGGGACAGAGATGGGCCTTCCTCAGGGGCTCTTATCCCAGACCCTCCCAGACTCCGCATCCTGCCATGTTGCATGATATTTGGTTGTGTTCTGACAAAAAAAAGCTTGCTTGGCGTCAGAGAGCGGGGCCAGCCACTAACAGACCAGAAATTAACCATCGAGGTTTGGAGGACCATAGACAGAGAAGAGACTGGAAATGGTAAGGCAGGGCTGAGAGAAAGAAGATCTCTGCCCTTTCGGATGTCGGAACGAGGGAGGTAGGAAGCAACTGGCGGCTGCTCCCTGTTCTCTGATCTTTCAGGTTCTTACCCCAGTATTTGAGTCCTGACTTTTTTATTGATACAGATTAATTACATTAACACAACACTGCCAAGTCCAAAAATCATTTCAAGAAGAAGCACATGAAAGTCCCCAGGGCTCTCGATTCAGTCCTACCTTTACCCCACTCTGTTCAGTTCAGGGGCGAGCTAGCCCAGAGAGTGGGGCCCAAGGGTCTAGAGCCCAGGCCTGACTGGCGCAAGGTCTACAGGGCTCCAAGAACCTCAGCCTGGCCCAAGCCGACCCTCCCTGAAACAGGCCCTGACCTGCCCAGCCTGTCGCTGCTTTTTCATCTGTTTGCACAGGAAAACAGGCCCAGGACTGACCTCTGTCTCTACCTAGCCCATTGCTGATAGCCTGGACCCACAGGACAGGGGCAGAAGGAGGACTCTATAGGGACCCACCCACGCTACCCCCAGATGAGTAGACAGAACCAGTAGCTAGGGGACAGCTTTCTGCTAATACCTTTCTGCTAATAACTAGAGTCACAGGGCAAACAATGTCTTCTATGCATGCAAAGAGAGCAAAGGTGGGCCCAGAGGGTGTGGCCGAGACCTTTATTAGTACCTACCTAGGCTCTTGGGAGTCAGCCTTGAGGGGTTCTCAGGCACAGGGGAGCGAGGCAGGGAGACAGAGCAATACTTATAAGGTGGGAGAGTGTCAGTGCTCTTATTACCATTGTGTGAAGGATGGAGTGGGGGCTTGATGGGAATGGGGCCTGAGGCCCAAGCAGAGGGAAGCAGAAGTGGGGGATGCAAATCTCTGCAGCCATGAGAGGCTCCCACAGCGCTGCTCCTCAGTTGGTCCTGTCCTACCCTGTCCCGACCCAGTCTCCTGGGATGGCCAAGCTCACAAGGTCTAGGATCTTCATAGCCCTAACCTGGCCATGCCCAATACACACATAGACCCCCCTTGCTCCCCGAAGCCCTGCCCCACAGTCACCTCCATATCTTCAGCAAGGACTGTTTGCTTCCTTGGGGTTCCTTGCTCCAAGGTCCCACTGGGTCACCCTAGCACTGAACTCCAAGCAGAGAGGAACATAAGCTCTACGCCTTCCAACCTGCAGGTATGGAGATAGCCAGTGTGGGCTGGAGCTGGAGGAACTACCCAGCGGTAGACAGCAAGGAGAGTAACAGAAGTACAAGTCCACGACAGTGTGACCCAGGAATAGGCCGGCAATGGACAAGAAAAACAGAGACACAGTGGGAGAGATGGGGACTCAACAGAATCAGGGTCTGACGCAGGGACTAAACAGCCTAAGGCTTCTGTCCACAGCCAGCCCTGCTCAGGGAGGCCCCAGAGGTGAGGGGCTAGGAACCTCAGTCCCTCCAAATGGCAGGAGCCAAGCCTGTTCTGGTCTTCTGGACTTGGTCCAGGAAGGGTGGGGTGAACCTTGATTAGCATGCTGCTGTCAGGCAGGCCCTCACTCCTCCCACAGCTCCAGCCTCATCTATAAGGTCTGGGGAGAGGAAGAGCCACCACTGCTTCCAGACCTATGCTTAGGATGAAGACGGCTCTGCTACTCCTTCTTGCTGTGGCTGCAGTCACTAGCCCAGGTGAGAGGCTGCACCTGGGGACTGGGAAGGGGTGGGTAGCTTTGCCTGGATACTGGACCTTCAGCCTCTGGCAGGCTGTACCTGACAAGAAGGTCATCAAATACTAGAAGCTGCAATTTAGGCTTAGAGAATGCTGATGCTGAGGGATGTTTGCCTCTTTAAAACAAAATGACTTTAACGTCTTAACTCAATGAAATCATAAAAATGCAATATTTCAGCGCTAACCCTTAGAACTGGGGGTGTCATGAGAGAGAGGAGAACTGGGGGTGTCTTGAGAGAGAGGAGAACTGGGGCTCCCACCATCCCCACTTACATCCATCCTGGACAGCCCTGGGGTGGCCAAGATCCTCTTGCTCCAGTTTCTTCAGGAATTCAAACCACTGGGATGGGGACAGCAGCGCCCTTAGCAAAGACCATCCCAAGGTCATCAGAGAAGTGCTCTCTCCACTCTGCACCCTCTCTGCTTCCTCATCTCTTACAGAGGTGACAGGATAGAACACCTTCTATGTTAGAACAACTCTCCAGGGCTCCGAGGGATATCCAGACACTCTCTGAGCTAGACACATGACATAAGCCTTGTGGGGTCCAGGGCAGGAGCTGGGGTGACAAATGACAGAAGACTCTGTCACAGCAAAGGCCTTTACTTGACTGACTCTCTGACCCTTCAATTTCCAGCCTGTGCACTCCGTTGTCATGTATGCAGCAGCAGCGCGAACTGTAAACAACCCCAGATCTGCCCAGCCAACTCCCAGTATTGCAAAACCGTCACCACAGGTGAGTCTCGGTCCAAGTACCCCTCAGGGCCAAGAGAGCAGCCCTAGGCACGATACTGGAGATGGGTCAGTCATGGCGATGGTGGTGGTTGAGAGTGTAGGATGCTCTGTGGGAGGCAGGGTGCATGGCAAGCCAGGCCTGACACCTTTTCCTCTCCGGTGTGCAGTGGACGCTCTGTCGGGGAATCTGGTGAAGAAAGACTGTGTAGACTCGTGCACTTCCAACAACAGCCAGCAGGGCCAGATCAGCAGCGGCTCCTGGGTCATACAATGCTGCCAGGGTGACCTGTGCAACGAGAGGCTGTACAACGCTGCACCTGCATGCGCCCTGTCCAGCAATGCCGCCCTGGGCCTAGCAACCAGCCTGGGCCTCCTCGCCCTCATGACTCTTGGCCTGTAACACACCGCTTGGCATTTTCCTTGACCCTTCCTTTCTGGTTCCCAGGGTCCCCATGGCTTCCTCCGTGGCCATGACATGGACTTCCTTTAAAGGCTGGGGACTGGGTCTTGGAGGGCACCAAGAACTAGTGACATAACACAGTCTCTGCCCCAGAACAGGAAGGTTTTACCCGCTCCCCAGCATGGAAGATGGGGGACAGACATGACTCCATCCCCTCTGATTTTGTACTCGTTCCATTTATTTTTCTACTTAGAAATAAATGATCTAGAAATATTGTGGCTGTGTGGAGTGGTGAGTGGCACTTGTTACCCTGGACAAGCCTTGGCAGCATGTAGTAGCATCTAGCACCTGGCCCGAAAGACATTTCCATCCTGGAAAGGGCAGGCTCTCCCCAAGTCCCATGTGGGAAGGACACCGTGCCCGGGTCCCAACCCTGAGATTCTGCTTCCCCAAAACTGTAAAGAGAACCCAGTCTTAGAGTTATGAGGGCACTGCACACATGGTCTAAGGTGAGTCTAGCTACCAGGATGACCTCATTCCTTAGGATGCTCAGTGGCAACTCATTTAGATGTGTATGTTGGGGTGGGAAGGGTGACTCAGTATAAGCTGATGAGAGGTATCTGGGAGAGGCCTAAGTGGCGAACAGCCCCAGGGACCCTAGGAAAGTTCCCTGCCAGCTTTCCCATTCTGTGCAATGGGTTCAGGCTGCTGCCTAGGCTCCCACGTCCTGCTTGGATTTAAGCAGTCCGGTGAGTGTGGTGAGGCTGTAAGGTTGACTGAGGGAGAGGTTTCAGCAGATACCCAAACATGCAGTCCTCCTTACTGGCAAACAGGCTAGCCAATTTCACTGCAAGCCCACAGGGGTGGACACAGGGTTAACAGCCTGGCAGGTCTGCATGGCAAACCCTGCCCTTTGCAGATGTCAAAGGGATGGTGACGGTCCCCTCTTCCCTTCACGCACCTACACCTGAACCTTAAAGCATCTTCCGAGAGCTGCTTCCGAGAGAGGTTTGTGAGAGGTGGCGCATGATGCAAGCTCCCTGAACCGAGCCCCAAGGTCCAAGTGAGGTGCTGCTTGGCGTGGGTGAGCTCTGCTAAGTCCACTCAGCGAGTCCCATTTCTGAGACCCTCCAGGACCCCACTTGGAGCAAGGTGCTGGACTCGCTGAGTCTGTTTTTTTTTTTTTTACACAGACTCCCATACCCAGTCACCAAAGCCTGTTACAGAGGCAGGTCTTCTAGAGAGCCACCAGACGTTGAAGGACATTCATCAACCATGCGGAAGGGAGATGGAGGGAAAGGCGGGGACTAACATGCTCCAACCCCGGGAAAGCAGGAAACTTCCCAGGAGTCACATGTGATACCCTATTCTCTGGAGCTGAGGACCAAACCTGGTGCTGGCACGCCTCCTAGTGGCCCGTAGGTCAGGCAGCGGAAGACACCTGTGGGAGGAAATTCTTTTCCCAGGGCTATCCAGCTGTCAAGCAAAGGACAACTGTTGCATGTCCTTTCCTGGTAAGACATGAACCCCCAGACATGGCACTGATGACAAGACAATGGCAGCCAAGCCTAGGGCGTTTACTAAGGCTGCTTACAGGGGTGTGTGTGAAAAGGTTACCTAAAACAGTGTGGGTGGAGAGTTGGCTCAGTGGTTAAGATCTTTCAGAGGACCTAAGTTCAATTCCCAGCACCCACATGGAGGCTCACAACTGTCTGTAACTCCAATCCCAGGGCTTCTGACCCCTCACACAGACACACATGAAGGCAGAACAACAATGCGCATAAATTAAAACAAAACAAAAAACAGCGTGGATGACTGGAATGCAGCCACATCACTGAAATGCCCACTCCAGTCTGGGTGACAGACCATTAAAGCTTCATCCTTAGGGTACATCTCACGGGCAGTTCAACAAGAGGGAGATTCTATCTCCAACCCAGAGAATCTTGGGTGAGGGGAACTGATGAATCTTAATGAGTTTCTGGGAGTTTCCTGAGACCAAGGAGTTTTATTTACTTCTCGAGCCTTGTAAACTCCCTGTAGGTCCTGAGTCTCAACAAGTCTCCCTCCTCCATGTTTCAGTTTGGAGGAAAAAGCTACACAACCACTGTCAGACAATGGAGTGAAATGTGTACAGGCTCCAGGCAATTTCTGGGAAGGGGCAGCCTTCTCATATCAGGGACTCCGGGCTTCCTATGGAACACAACAGCATCTGAGGCTGCCAGGATGCTACAGAAAAATTGAGAGTAATGGAGTCCCCTACCCCAGCTCTGTCTTCTAACCTGAAGTCTATAGGCATCGCAAGTCCAGCTCCCTGGATGCCTCTTTATGATTCCACTGGACAGCTTCTCTGGTACTCCTAGATCTAACCTAACTTTACCCCCACTGACCAGGACCCAACCTGGCCACAGCCCTTGGCAGGGAATGCCAAGATGGGAGTCCTCTCCAGCTACATACAATCCTGTGTGTGTGGGCAGACTTCCGGGGGCCAGTGGTCAAACAGCAGGCTTGCCCCTCATTCCTGGGGTTCCTCCTGCAGGAACCCAGTCCCGAGGCCTGCACAACAATGCGGTTAGGTAATGACAAAAATAGGGATACGAAGGACCACAATGGTGACCCTAGCTGAAGTCAGCAGCCGGACAAAGCCTAGGAGCAGCAGAATCTGAGAACTCTGGGTTCAATCCCATCCGTAAAGCAGCAACCCCCAAAGACGGTCTGGGCAGATCCCTGGCCCACCCAGGACAGGGTGAAGCACTATTCCTTTTGCGTTCGCAAAAGACACGCCATATGCGACAGTTTGAAGGGATTGCCCCCGTAAAGTCTGAGCGAGTAGCACTAATAGAAGTATGGCTGGGTTGGAGTAGGTGTGGCCTTGTTAGAGGAGGTGTGGCCTTGTTATTTTCTTCCTCGCAAAACGGGGGTGGGGAGGAGTAGGGTTTGTGAAAACCTATTAAGTTTTGGCTGCTTGAAACAGAATAATAAAAATAAAACTTCAGTTACACGCTGTACTTATTTAGTGGTGGACTTTTGATGGTGAGAGCAGCCTGTGAGCCTTGTGGATCCCAGGTAAGGACAGAGGTGCAGCGGGTTGCAGGTGTTACCTCTCCCCAGAGTGAGCACATCCACCCAGCTGTTTGGTCTGTGCGAGCAGGACAGCAGGTGTGGGAAGAGCCTCGATGAAACCTAACGAGAATATCCAGGAAGTGTACATTGGCCTCAGGATCGCTGCTGTGTCCCTGTGAATCTGCACAAGTGTGGGCTCATTCTGATGCCCAGGGGATGCCCAGGTTTTGCTCACTGGAGTCATAACCAGAGAGCTCATGATGGAGCCTACAGACGTTAGCTTGGGGGCAGGACTTGGGCGGTTTCGGGGGCGGAGCGTATGTCCTGGGGCGGGGCTGGGCGGAGCCAGTAGTGAGCAGGCACTGCGGGTCGGTTGCGGCTGCGGGAGCCCAACCAGCCTGAGATGCGGTGCAAACTCAGCGTGAAGAGTGCACAGGCTCACCGTCAGACCGCGGAAGAGACCTGGAAGAGGCCACGGGTGAGTTCCCATGGCTACAGGGATTGTGGTGGTGAAGGGCAAGGGCTAGGTCACCCCGCACCCAGCCCGCGGCTCTGGGAGTCCTCCCCAAGCCAAGACTGCAATCTTTCGGGCGGAGCTCCGGGAGAGAGGGGGCAGGAGGCGCCCGAGCTGCAGGCCTGGCCTGATTCAGCATCTCAGAATCCTAGGTTGGCACTAGGGAAATGGGTCATGAAGGATGGGTGGTCCTCCTGGGAGTGTATTTTGGAACCCCAGCAGGATCGCGTCTATAGACAGGAAGGAGAATATTGGTCCACATCCCCCCAACAGTCTCAAACACCAGACCCGGCCTGTGGAACTCTGTCTTGGGCAAGCATCGTCTGGCATGTATCCGAAGAGTCTTTAGGTAGGACCTGGGCACTCATCATGGCCCCTTCTGCTGTGGCAGAGGACTCACACAGCAGAGTCTACACTTTGCCCAGGGGAGGGAGGGGGATCCCATGCAGGGGAAGCAAACGCAGAGGGACCTCTGCCCCCAAAAGAGACCAAGCCTGGGTTCCAGTCTTCTGGAGAGTCTCCTGCCTCTGGGCTCTGCCAGGAAGAGACTGCCTGCCAAGTTTTCATAAGCGCCCGCTGGGTGAAATCCTCTTTGGGTTTGACATTCAAGGACCCCAGGGCCTCCCGATTTTCTGTGATGTTGCCGGTTCCTCCCTTCCTTAGCTCCTCCCCCCACCCTCACCTTTTGTTTGCTTTTGATCTTCTGCTGGAATGCCGCACACCCTGCCCCCTCCTCCCATCCCCAGGTAAACAGAGATCAGTGACACCCACTGAGCTGGGAGGCCCTGGCGAGTGCCCCAGCCCAGCTGTGACCACAAGTCTCTGTCATTGTCCATGTAGGGTTGCTTTATCCCTAGGAGACCAAGAGTTCCAGCAGGGCAAGAGTCTGCCCTGAGCCTCCATGTCCTGCCTCTTCCCGGGCCTGAGCTGCATCCAGGACCAGCTGCTGTTCTCACACCGCCACCATGACACCCCTGCTCACAGTGCTCCTGGCGGTTCTGGTGGGCCTGCCTGTGGGTAAGGCAGATAGAAGCCAGCGGGACCCAGTTGTGGGACAGAGTGGCGGGAAGTCGGCAGGCTGGCCCGAGTTCCCCTGCCTTCTGACTGTCCTGACCTGGTGCTTGTTGGGGATGGGAGGTTGGTGGGAGACAGCCGGGGTCTGACTGGCAGAAAAAAGGATTTCTTCCTGTTTTCTGACACCCCACCCCCTCACCCCGGCATGGCCCACAGCCCAGGCTTTGGAGTGCCACGTGTGTGCCTACAATGGAGACAACTGCTTCAAACCCATGCGCTGCCCAGCCATGGCCACCTATTGCATGACCACACGTACTTGTGAGTCCCGTGACCTGGAGCACAGGGATAGGAGGGGCAGAGGGAGGGACACCCCACTTTCACTAGTGGACCTGCAAGCTGAGACTGAGTCTTCCAAGGTCCTGATCCTCTCACTGCAACCTTTTTGTGTCCTGTCCCCTGTAGACTTCACCCCATACCGGATGAAAGTGAGGAAGTCGTGTGTACCCAGCTGCTTTGAGACCGTGTACGATGGCTACTCCAAGCATGCATCTGCCACCTCCTGTTGCCAGTACTACCTCTGCAATGGGGCTGGCTTTGCTACCCCAGTGTCCCTGGCCCTGGTCCCAGTACTCCTGACCACTTTCTGGAGCTTGCTGTAAAGCTCTGTTTCCCCAGACAGACCCACTCACTCAAACACAAAGCTCTTAAAAGACACAGTCGCACCCTCTCGCTTCACCCAACCCTCTTCCTTCAGCTACAACAAGGGCCGGTGGCTATCTAAAAATAGGATCGATGAAATCCAGATACCTCACTCCAAGGCCATAACCTTTCATTTTCAGAAGGATCTAAAAGTCTCTACCCAGGATCAGGTGCACCAGAGAAAGTGCTGTCTGGAGAGGGGGGGGGCGGGAGAGGGAGGTGTCAGTCAGTCAGGCACACCGAGTTGAAGGAATTAGTGGCCAAATTCTACCTTCATAGCATCAGGAACCTGCCTCTGTCTACCCAGGAGAGGACAGGTCTACTAGAGGGAGACAAAAGATCATGAACCGGCTAGAAGCAAAGGCTCATTAGAGCTGTCTCCTACTGAGGGCAGCAGCTGCCCGGAGCAGACCACGATGGAGGCCATGTGAGGAAGCCTTTTGTTATTCCCAGCTATCTCAGGAGCTCTGCCAGACCTGGTGTCCAGACAGCTCTTGGCCGAGGGTAGCTAGCAGTGGCTTCATTTCCACAGGTTACTAAGATCCCTCCAGCCCCAATCTCAGCAGGCCCCTTGACCTCACACCAGCTGCTGGGCCTTGAGGCTGGCAGGGACACGGGGGCAGGAGGCCCATGCTGTATTTTTGTCTGACCTGTACACAGGCCAGAGCTATTCTGGGCATGACAGGAAGGGAACAAAGGCAGATCAGAGCAGGCTAGTGAGGTGACCGGGACAGCAATGCAGTCTTCAGCCGGCTTCCTAGGTCCTGTAGGCAGATTCTGCATCCTCTGGCCTCTTGGTAAATGATGGGCAGACCAATGCACAGGGGGCCAGACCAAGTCCCGGGTGACTGTGACTGAAGACTTCTGGGAATCAAGACTCCGAAGAGCCCAACCCTGATTTAGGAGACACTGGATCTACCTTTCATGCCAGTGTAGTTGGCCCAGAAGGCCTTACTCTCCTCTCTGACTAGTACTCCAACTCACGTGGCACTGAGGAAACCCCCGAAGCTAGCCCAGGCCAGGGGTCAGGATGCTGGCCAGTGTCCGTGCAGTGGGATTATGCCTGACTAGGAGAGTCTTATTGGTCATCACGTCCTCCTGGTCACACATCCTGAATGCTTTTCTCAGACCACCCAACTGTAGGAGCTCAGGACACAGAGGCCTGTCCTGGGGACCTTCCTCCCTGTTCTTAGGCAGTCCTGAGCTCTACTGCTGAAAATGATGTAGTTTTCTGCCTCGGTTTCCTCCTCTGGGGACAGACCACTAGGGAATGGGAGATAGAAGCATGCTGATGGGCTTCCCCAGACCCTCAGGAATGTGAACTGTGTGGTCCCATTACAAAGGTGCATTGGGTGGGAAATGGCCCAGAGGTGAGGGGACATTGGCTACCCAGAGAGACTCTGAGTCTCATGGGAGGTCAGGAGTGGGGAGACAGAGCACAGGTGCATATTCAGCACGGTGGCTGCAAAGTCCAGAAGTGGCTATGGTGGTGGCCCCTGAGGTCCAGGCACACTTGCACGCACACACACACACATACACACACAGCATTGGGACTGAACTGTGCAAGCCACAGGGCTCTGGTAAGGAGGGTCAGAGGCAGACTTCTGACTCAGTGGGTGAGGCCTGGGAAACATTACCCTGCTTGTGCAAGTCCATTGTCCCCAGCCAAGGTGGCATCCTGGGTCGGAACTGGGAGGATGTCTGAGACCAGGTCCTCCCTCCCACCGCAAGAAGTGATGTGGCAGAGGCCCTTGATCACCTGTGGCGGAGAGTGCTGCAGTGTCTGGGGGCAGTTTCTTTCACATGTCTCATGGCACCATCCAGACAGGCCCCACAGTGTCCACACTGCCACCTATCCCTACAGGGAGCATTGTATACCTGCCTAGCCTGTCCTCGGTGCTTAGCACAGAGCCCCAGATGGTGCTCAATTAACACAGGGCCAAGCCTGCAAGTAGGAGGTGCCAATTAGGGGAACAGTGCCAGGCCGCCTGTCCTGAGTCCTGCCTGGGGTGGTGTGACACTGCAGGCAGCTCTACACCCTCCACAGAAGTTCTGCAAAGTGTAAGTCTGTGTGGGGGGGTGTCATGACAGGAAAAGAAACTGAGGCACAGAGGGGTCTTAGTTTTCCTGGGCCACCTGACCACCTCCTCAGTCCAGTAGCAACCATTCTCTTGTGGGTGCTCTTTGAGCCGTGGGTGTTCTTTGAGGCTGTACACCTTCAGGATGACCGTGACTTCATAAACCAGAGAGCCTCAGAGCATAAGGTTGCAAGACTTATGAAACTGAGGCCTCAGAGGGGAGCATCAGAACTGCAGGTTTGAAGGTCTGGGGAGTAAGCCAGGGGTGCCCAGCCCTGTGTGCGGATGCAGAGAGAAGGAACACGGGATGGAGTAGCAGACAGAAGAACGAAGTTCCATCAGCTGTCACAAACCGACCCTGCCTTTGTCAGGGATTAGGAATCAAGGCAGTGGGTGTTGCCACACTAGGGTAAACTCGCCACTCAACATGGATGGTGTCCAGGGCGGCTGGCAGTGGTTATCTATGGCATTGCATTCTGGAAGCAGCTTGGAAGTCACTGGAGAGAAGGGCTGCATGGAGCAATGATATCACAGAGTGTACGTTCCTCTGTGGTCTAGCCCACCAGAGAGAAACTGCAGGGGGAGTCATGCTCTGCCACCGTGTCTGTGGTTGGCCTCCCCAAAGCGCATATAGAGAAGGGGGCAGACCACCTTCTTCATCTTCTGCAGCAAGCGTGCGAGCTCACATTCTGAAACTCTAGAATGATTTCCAGGACCAGGGTGGCCCCTTGTTGCAGTGTTTGGTCACTTCTGGCAAGCACTATGGCATCCTGCAGCTGCCTGACCTGGGTTCCTCAAGCACAGGCTCCTACTCCAGCCATCCCATCGGTGAAATGACAGTGGCAGTAACCACTCAGCTGGCTCTTGGGGGCCAGTGCCAAGCCTAGGACTTGCATAGAGGAGACCCCAAAGGACGCATGGATACATGCTACTGTCTGAAACTTCCCTGTCAACCCTAAGCTCTCACCCAGCAAGAATGTGAAATCCACTTTTATGCCACAGTTCCCTTCCTGTAGCCAGCCCCATGTACCTATACTTCAGAGTGGCCAATGTCAATGTCCCCCACTGAATGAATAAACAAATGAAGGACGTGTGTCTATCTTGCTTTCCTACCTATCTTCTCTCTGAAGGTCGCTGGCTCCTGTCCTGATATTAGAGCCAGCCAAGGCAAACATGGTAGTAACAGGACTCCAGGGGCTTTCCAAAACTCACTCCCATTCTGCGGAGAGAGGCAGATCCAGTTCCCATCAATGGACCAACAAACCCAAGGGCTGGCTGAGGAACTGAGTGGGAAAAGACAGGACCACACACCACACACACAGACACACACACCAGCAGACCTGGGTAACACACACACACACCAGCAGACCTGGGTAACACACACACACACACACACACACACACACACACACACACACACACTGGCTACATCTGCCTTTTTCTGGCTTTTTTATTTCTGATGCCACTTGCTACCTAATTCTCAGGAAGAGTCTGACTCTCCCAGACCCTCTCTCAGACTCTCTGGCCCTTTGCCCTGCCCAAACCCCCAAATTTGGGAGGGGCATAAAGCATAGAAGTAAATTAAAGCCACCTGGACAGCCAGAGTAGACACATGGGGTCTCTCGCCTGGACTGAATGCCTGTGCCCCATCCTAGTGGCAGTGGGACCCCGCCCCTGCTATGTGCGCATGTCTCTTAACCCCAGCCTGGAACCTTTTAAGACCAAAGGCTTTGCTTCTCCCTTCTGCTGCCACGGGACATAGTTTCCTTGATGCCATGCCAGTACAACACTCACCCCTTGTCCCGGGGCCATGTGTGTAGACATACTGCAGAGCTTCTTAGTCGTGGGAGGGCCAGGACGGGACTGAAGCCTGACCTCTCAAACCTGGCTCCCGTGCTCCATGCAGAGTGAGCTGCTGAGAAAGACACTGTAGTCTCACCTGGCCCCAGCTTCATTCACACTTGCCAGGGGAGGAGAGGGTGGCTTGCTTATGCTATGCCCCGTGCGGCTCCAGGGTGAGGTGGATCCGTACTGAGCTTCCGGCCCGCACAAAGCATTTCTTGAGAGTCTTGGGCCTGATGATTGGGACATCCCTACTCCACAGAGGAGGGAAGAAGGCTTGTGAAATTGTACCAGGCTCCCTGAGGCCACACAGCAGCAAGCTCTGCCACCTCCCAACTGAGCTAGGTTGCAAGTGACTCAGGGCTGGGAGCCAGCAGCTATGGGAGCCAAGGGTGGAGTGGTACCCACGAGAAGGTATAAGGGGTGGCCAGGGAGTGAGCCTCATCCTTAACACGGAGAACATGAGGCTTCTCTTCTGGTTCCTTCTGGCCGTGGTCTTGAGCATGGAGCTAGGTGAGTCGGGGGTATGGCCACTTTCCCTGCTGCCCTTACTTATCACTGGCCCTTGTGGGTACCCCTTTCTTGTCTCCTCATCCTGGGTACCAAGACCCTCCCTAATCCCCAGCCTCTGTCCTTTGCCTTCATAGATTCCTAAATCCTCTTCTCTGGACCCTACAGCGCTAAGTGCACTCCTCAGCTTTCTTCTCAGTTTCAAACCCACCCCTAAGCCTCCCCAACTCCATAGTGACAACTTTGCACACACACACACACACACACACACACACACAAGCATGGCACACCTCTGCTCCTTTGGCCTCCTCCAGCCCCAGAGCCCCACCTGGTCTTCAGCCACTCTCTCCTGATGCCCTCCTACCTCCTTGCTTGGGTTCTATCTGTTCCTCCTTCCTTGACTTTAGTCCCTTTAGGCTTCTATACCCTAATTTCATTTGCTTCAGTAATAGGGACTTTGACCCTGGTGCTTGCTGGTGGCCTCCCAGGGACACTCCCAAATATCACTCCTTGTGTCTGGCCTTAACATCATTCAGTGGAGACCAAGTTGCTCCTGCATCCAACCCCAACCAACGCCTGAGTAACTATTGCCCATCAGTAACCCATGCTCCAAACTCAGCAGACTCAGCTCTCCAGCTCTCAGAGGCCTCACCTAGTAAAACCTCAGTTTCTATTCATGGGTGGAAATGCTCCAGGACTTGGGGTCCACCTAAGGTGGGGTGGGAGGTCAATGTGTACATCTCTGGCTATAGTTTACCCTTCTTGGCCCAGGCCTCATGGGAACTCTCCGACCTGAGAAAGCCTGAACTATTGACCCCGAAGTGATCCCCAAAACCTTCAGGGCAGACCAAATCCACTTTGATGGTCCTGAGCTCAAAGTGGAGACCTGTGTTACTGTCAGGGTTGAGGTTTCAGATGCAGTACTCATCCATGGGCCAGTCACCCTCTCTGCCTTAACCAAGGCCCTACTATCTCCAGTGTCTGTCTGTAAGCCTGAGACTACTCTACAGTGGGACCTCCCAGTCCCTTCCTCCGTGGAAACCATGCCTGCTCCTCAAGACAAAGCCCCAAGCCTGCATAGTTTGAAGTTGGAGGGAGCCGGGCTCCACGTGTCTCTCTCAGCATACCCAATGTCTTACATCTTTTCTGGGCATCTGCTCTGTCACCCATGGGTAATGCCATCTCCCTGGGGCTCAAAGCAGCCTGGGAAGGGTGAGTTGCATCCTAAGCTGACCTCAGAATGAGCAAATGGGACCAGAGGGCCTGGTGACACTGCAGTGCACCTGGACGTGGTGGAGTGCTGCCCCATCGTCTCTCTCACCCTCTTCTCCAAAGTTCTGTCTCTCTCTGAGTAAGTGCTGACCTAGGGTCTGTCCCCAGGACCTATCACTGCACCCAGAGCCAACTTCTTTTTGAAACCTTCCTGGCCTCGTTGATGAAAAGACACACACACACACACACACACACACACACACAAGAGGGATGGTTATTTTTGTCCTAATGACCCTGCTCTTGCTCCAACTCTTAGAGATCATTCATTCATTTATTTTCTAAACATCTCCTGTGACTCATCAGTGCATCAGGGTGCCGTGTGGTGGATGCTTGTGGGGCAATGGAGAATGGGAAGGGATCCCCATTCCTATCCAGAACTCTAGTGAATAGGAATGTGGAGACAGTCTTAGTCATGAAAATAACATTGTCTATGAGGTTAGCTTGTGCCACATGGATGATGGAGAGAGGAGCCTGGGCAAAGCTAGGAGGTGTGGAGAGGAAGAGGAATGGGAGGTGGTGTCCATGCTATTCTCTCCAGCACCTTGCCTGTTGCTTTTGGTGTCCCAGTCACCTGCCCCTCGGTCACCTGCTGTCTGGAGAATCCATGTTCAGTTTGTTTAGTGTATTTAACTTCCATGGAACAGCTACAGGCTTGTGGGCTTTTGCTGCTGTCTTTTATGTCCCTAGCAAGGTCTCTGCTTGCTCTGCCAAGATGGTAAACGAGGACCTTGCTGTGGTGTGGACTTCCTGCGTGTCCCCTGCTCCATAGTGTATGGGATGAAGGCCTGGCCTTTGAGACAGGCCAGAACCGACCGACATACTTATATGTGAGGTCTGGTAGAGCCATGGCTGTAGGAGGAGCCCCAGGGGGAGCTCTACTCTCCAGGACTATTCAGCGGCCCAGCTAGGATGGGACAGGGCCTAGAAGCTTCCTGCTCAGTGGCAGCTCTGGACTTGTTCAGGATCGCTGCTGAAAAGTGCCCAGAGGTGGGCATGGGCTTAGGGGTTTTGTAATCCAGGGAAGGGAGCTTAAGGAAGCACGAGAGATGCAGAGAGGCTGGGAAGAGGCAGAGAGACAGATGGGGGAATCCAGAGAGAGCATGGTAGGCCACTTGCCTGACCGGCACCCTCTGGTGAATACAAGACTAGTGAGGTAGCATTTGTCAGGAAAACTGTGAACAGAGCTCAGTGGGCTCCCATCTTCCTCCTGCCTGGCCTTGCCCTGGATTCCCTACTAATTGGGTAAAGGCCCCATCATCTCAGCCCACAGAGCATTTATATCAAAGGGTATAAATTGATCCTTCTCAGGTTCCTGGAGGTAAAGGGGACTAAAGTCTCAGGTCCCGCCCCTCCCCCACCCTGGTCTTCAGGCTTCTCTCCCCCAGAGGCTCTCACCTCTGTTCCATCCAGTTCTTGGTGCTCTGAGCAGACAGACACAGGCCCACTAGCTCCAACACGATTACCTGTATCTCCCACAGTGGTAGGCTGAACACCAGGGTCTCACTTAGCTCTTCCTCCAAGGTCTGGGAGGGGGGCTTTGCAGCATAGATAACAGTTGGGAAGCTGGGCTACAGAGTCTCGGGGCTAGCAGAGAATGGAAGTGAGGTGCTGGATACAAGAGCAGGTGTCACCCTCTGCAGGAATTGCTCACCGACTGCCCCTGTCTCTGTCTACCTATAGCTATAACACGGGGCCTGCGGTGCCACCTGTGCAAGGACTTTGGAGGCTGCTCCGGCCAGTACAGATGCAGAAGGGGCTCCACCCACTGTGTCATCATTGCCACCCGTGAGTGTGGTGGGAGGGGCGGGATGGGCACGCCCTTCTTGCACAGAGAGCTGGCTCAATGGGCAGGCAGAGCCCAGAGCCAATGTGAGGGCCAACAGATCTAAAAGACAGGGTAGAAAGGCGTTTGGCAACCTCTATCTGAGGTAAGGGCCAGGCAGGGCTCTCAGTGCCTGGGGTGACCCTCAGCACAGTGGCTGATGTGACAGAGGTTTGGGCAGCTCAAAGATTCAGGAAGCGCCATGGTCTCTCTCTTACCCCCAGGATCTCCCATCAGCTTCACGGACCTGCCCCTGGTGACGAAGATGTGCTACAATGGCTGCCCTGATGTCCCCAGCTTGGGCTTGGGTCCTCATGTATCCATTGTTTGCTGCCAGTCCGATCTCTGCAACAAAGACTGACCACACTCTGTCGCTACCAGCTGGACCACAGAACCGTGTCCTGGCCTGGTCCTTGGAGATCATTCCAACCTGGCCAGCCCAAAGCCTCCAACTCATAACTTCCTCAGAAAGTTCAGAGTGAAACCCTGTGTAAATCCACTGCGGTGCAAACATGAGGCCCTAATCCGCTGTGGGCCACCCTCTGTGTCAACAAATCTCCCAATAAAAAGCAGCTGGATCACGTGATCTGAGTTGTCCAATGGAAGTAGCGTACTGGATTCAGGCAATTCCTTAAGCGGCCCCGTCTGTGGTCAGTCATGGCCTCCTTGGTCCAGGATGTGTGCTGTAGCCTCCGCTGACCTTCTCTCTTCCGCTCAGAGTCTGCCCGTTTCCACTGACCTGCTCTCTTCCGCTCAGAGTCTGCCCGTTTCCACTGACCTGCTCTCTTCCGCTCAGAGTCTGCCCGTTTCCAGGTAGACGCAGGGCCTAAAGGCACAGGAGCTGCAGATGACCGATGCTGCTCTGGGCCAGCTGTGGAGGTGGGGCTGAGTCTGTAGGCACTTAGGAGCACCCCAACTTGAGTCTGGAGCACCGGAGAGTCACTCTGACCTAGGACTGGCATGCAGAAGAGTGCCCCAAACTTGGCACTGGGGGATCAAGGAGCACCCAAACAAGGGGCTGAGAGGGGGGAGCACTCCAATTTGGGGGTGAGGACATCTGAAGGACAGCCTTGATAGAGGTTTGGACACCCTGACCTGGGCTTGAAGGCTGAAAGGAGGTCTGACCCGAAGCCAATGAGCGCCGTACTCTGGGGCGCTCCTACAGACCCACATCAGGGCAGGTGGAGGAGGAAGGCTCTGCAGAGGGGGAGTGGTGCTCGCTAACCGAGGCCCTTTTGGCACCATCCACCTCTGTTGTCAGGAGCTCTTGGGGAACCCTGCCACCTTCTTGGCCTGTGTCTCTGGCGCCTTGTCCTGTTCTGTCTTTCCCGCCATGTCCCTGCCTGCTTAGCCTTGTCTATGTCTCCCAGAAGGCTGCCCGTCTATCAAGCCCTGTGTGGCCCTGAGTGGGAGCTCTGCCTCCAGGCACCCACGAGAAATCTGCAAGGGGGAAAGCTGTGCCCTGGGGCAGCTGGGTAAGCTGCCCCGACAGCATAACCACCCACCTTAGTTAAACATGACAGCTAAACACCCAGAATCTGTGCAAGTTACTTGGTAAATATTTACTCACTGGCTCCCAACCAGGCCTAGGGATAAGCTTCATACTCTTGGTTTCGCAGTCACAGAGGCAAGTCATAGTTGGTGCCTCACGGAAAACATGAGGCAGGCCCTGACTTCAACTAGCTTGTTCTCAATTTGGCAAAGTCCTCATGAAATAAACACTGGTAAAAGGCAACACCGGTGAGGAGGACAGTAGCCAAGGAGAGAGTAACTGACAGAAAGCTGGAGCTTCAGCGTTAGCGAAAACATGGAAAAGAGGAAGCTCAGGCAGTGAGCGACGGAGACGCTCAAGGCGGCGGGGAAGCACCGCCAGCTGCACGTTCGTGCCCAGATGTAAAGTCAAGAAGAGATGGGTCCAGACCTCCCTCACCAGCTCAAAACTTCAAAGTAAAAACAAAGACCTTTTGTTTGTTTTGAGAACTGATCTCACTGTATAGCCTAGGCTGGCTCACCTTCCTGCAAGGCTAAAAAGAAATTCTTTAAATGCTAGCCCATTCAGAAGAGAAAGGATCTCAAACATGGCTCTGTGATCACAAATGATGAATTGAATGATTAAACCCAGGTTACGGTATGACCCGGAAGGGGTACCCCTTGGACTTACACACAGAAGAGGAAACATGTCCACGGAAACTGGGCCACAACCACTCAGAGCAGAGCTATTCACAGACATCAGCCACAGGTGGAAACCCACACACCCATCACTGTGAACAAACGCATACAATATGGCATCCTTCCAGCCACAAAGTCCTAGTCACCAACCTGTAGGAGTAAGGTACACGCCTGCAGAGCTGACCCTTGGAAACACTACAGAATACTGTGTTCTCTAGGACCCTGCATGAAATAGCAGGAATTTAGGGCAGACTGGAAACAGATGCAGGAGGGAGGTGTGCAGGGCAAGGGGAGACTTCCAAAGCATGTCTTTCTGCTGCGCCATTCACCATCCGTCACCACCAAGATGCTTGTCCATTTCTTTGGTCACTCTAGATAGCAGAGAGATTCTCCAAGAACGGAGTATTTGCTTGGGGATGACGGAGCACTAGGATGGGAACACGTGTCATAGTGACAGAGGCTGTGGCTGTGGTGAGTGAGAGAAACTTTCCTAAGCTGCTTGGGCAGCAGTCTGTTGGTCTTGAAAACGTGGGGAGGGGCTTGGCCACCATGGTCAATGGTGACTCTGCTGTCCGAGGCAGTTGTCTAAATTACTGCAGATATGGAAGTCTGCGTGTCTCTGTGCTGGGCGTGCAAAGCACAGGGTGCGTGTTGAGCAAGGAACCTATGACAGGGTTCCTGAGAAAATCATTGTCCCAGACAGGACAGGAGTCTTCTCGCTACAACTTCCTGCCTGTGACTAGTTTTATGGGATCTGACAAGGAAATTCTCATCCTGGGGTCATTAACTTTCAGACTTTTTGCCAGCCGGCAAGCAATCCTGCTGTTGGCTTCAGCTGGCCATTCTCCAGTACAACTCAGACACCAACCATGTGTAGCTCTCATCAGATCGTACAGGTTGAGGCTCTGTCCTCAAATCTATACCCATCTCACATCCCTCACTCTCTTTCCATACTGTGCTTTTGGCATCTTTGGTCATGTCCTTGATTTTTAAAAAATGGGTAAAAGTGTCACCTGAATTCTTGGGGGTTCACTAAGGAACACCAGAGCCTCCATGCCTCTTCATACATAAGCACTTTCTCATTATCTTCCCAAGAAGCCCAGAATCTCCCGTGTTAAGCGACCCAGAGGCTGAGAGTTCTGTCCTTTGGGGTGTGATGGAGGTTTCATCATGTGTCCATTATTGGTTACATCATTGGCCACTGGTGATCAGTTCAACTTTCAGTCCCTCTCCTGTCTGCAGAGGAGACTTAGGGTGGGGATAAAAGTCCTCACCCTCTAATTGTGCAGGTGTCTCTCAGGTGATCAGCCCCATCCTGGAACTAATAATGAGGGGTACCCCTCCACTCGTCACTCATCAACTTATAAAATTACGAAACTCTTATTGCTACAGGGTTTCCACGAGTTTTAAGAAGCTGCGTGTCAAGAAACTTGGCTGAAAACCAAGAGTACCTTTCCCAATGCTGTAGGAATGGAGGGATGGTTCAAGAACTAAGTGCATGGGTTTCCTTTCTGAGATAATGGAACATATCAACCCAAATAGTGGAGTTTGCAGATGTCTGTGACTATGTCAAAACTATTGAGCTCAGTAGTGGGATCTCCCCCAACCCTCTCTCTTCAGCATGTCAGTACGTATCCCAGGCTGGCCTTGAACCCATGGCAATTATTTCTCAGGCACCCAAATGCAGAGATTACAGGTGGGCATCACCACACTCAGCAACTGACACACTTGGAAATGTGGGAGCTACCAAATGCGTGAGGTACAGTCAGTAAAGCTGCCAAAAATTAAAAAGAAAAGATAGCCAGGCAGTGGTGGCACACACCTTTAATCCCAGAACTCGGGAGGAAGAGGCAGGTGAATCCCTGATCTACAGAGTGAGTTCTAGGACAGCTGGGACTACACATTGTCTCAAAAAACAAAAACAAGTGAACAAAGACACAACAAAAGAAAAAGATAAACGAGATGCAAAATCTAAATTGAGAATCATAAATTACTACACAAAAATCTGTAAAATAATACACACAGAAGCTCCCTAGTACTTGGGAGGCTGGGACCGAAGGTTCAGGCCAGTCTGTGTTATGGGAAAGGCAGAAGTCTGTGTTAGCAAATCTGAAAGGCAGAAGACCAAGAAGGCTTGTCCCACATGCCGAGAACCATGCCACCGTCTCTGCGTGTGCCATAGGGCAGTGTCACGGGAAATGACCAGAGGTCAACACACAGGAGTCCAAGGAAAGAGGAGTGCTGTGGCAGGGGTGACAGGAGACGGCCTCACGTCAAGGCTGTGACACGGACTGAAGAGTGCTGGGTGAAAGATACAAGGGTGAGGCCTGAGGGAGGTGGCTCCTTGGAGGGAAACCGGCAGACCGGAAGCAGATGCTGCTTCTGTGGACATCTGTTTCTGAGGGTGGGATTGCAATGCATTCACTAGGCCCAAGAGAAATGGTAAATGGGTGTTTTATCAGGAAACAACTTACACAGATGATGTGAAGAATCGCCTCTGCGTTCCCACTCCAAAAGATGCAGTATCTGCACTTTGGACGTGATCCCAGACCGCAACCCAAAAGAAAGAGAGAGTGCCCGCCCCACGCTTCTCCACCTTCTGGTCATGCCCAAAGGGGTGTGGCCGCTAACACAAATTCACTGGCAAGGGGAGATGCTATGACAAGTGTCTCTTGTCTAACCCAGCTAGTGCATCTGTGCCCACTGCTGGGTGGCCGTGGCCTTGCAGGGTGACTGAGATGCAGAATCAGAGGCTTCAAGGAGACTTTCTGGAGAGGGACTGACCAGCAGGCTGAAGTGCAGTTTCGGAGTTTGAAGCCAGATGTCTGAATGTGAGGTGATCCTTAATGATTTCTTCTGAGGACTCCATACATAGGTCCTTTGGGAAGGGCTTCAGTTAAACCACAATTGCTGCCATGTTTATCTTCCTGGGTGCCTCCTGGAAAGACAGTGAGAACTAAGGTAGTTATGATTCCAGGGACAGTGGGGAGGGGCAGTTCTAGTTCACCTGAGACCAGACTCTGCCCTTCTAGAAACATTCTTCTGACATCTGGCTAGTAGGTGAAAAGGTACAGAGATGTCTATTGCCCCTTTAAGGATGAAACTAATACTCATGGGTCCCAAAGCTGGTGCACAGGGGCTCATGCATACCAGCATCCTTCTAGAAAAGTCCTGGAGGAACAGGGTACAGTGGCCTCTTTCCAGAGTACCATCCTGAGTCCTGTTTGTGAGCTCACTTCCTTTTCAGTGTGGGAATTTTAAGAGCTACTCATCTGGCCAGGCAGTGGTGGTGAATACCTTTAATCCCAGTACTCAGGAGGCAGAGGCAGGTGAATCTCTGAGTTCAAGGCCAACCTGATCTACAGAGTGAGTTCCAGGACAGTCATGGCTACACAGAGAAACCCTGTCTT